CACATAGTCGTGGTCAAGTCAAGAACTTGACAAAATATGTAAATACATTTTGTCAAGCTCTTGACTAACCAGCTCAGGGGCCTCTAGTCATTTTAGTAATTTTAAAGTAGTCATTAAATTCTAGTCATATTATTAGCTCAGTAGAAATCCTAAAATGCCAAAAAGCTGTGATAGTATTTTTATTGAAATTGTAAAGTAGTATTAAGAGACTTTTAAGATTTTGACAAAAAAAAAACTTAAAATAAAGAAAAAAAGAGTTCCACCTGCACCCATCATCCACTTTTCCTTTTCATACTTCCCTCTGACGAAATGGGTTCAAAGGGAGAGGGACTAAAATAGGCCTCCATGTCCATCCTCAGTGATGCACATTTCTCGATATATATCAAAATAATCACTTGTTTTGTTTGCGATCTCCGTGATATTAAAGTTCATGCGCAGAGCTAGATGGACAACCGACGGAACATGTCGGTAGATGGCGTGATTTCTAAATGACATAATTTCTGATCAAATCTGTGTATAGCGATAGAAAGCCTTTTTCTATAATTTTAATAGTCTCTGATGAAATGATGTTAAAATAAAAAAAAAATGTTTATTTATATTTATTACATTATAACAAATTAAATCAAACAAACAATGACTAAGCTAATCCTTCTCGTTTCTTCCATTCCTCCTTGAGTTTAGCCATTTTCTTTCTTTTGTATTCATTTTTCTTAAGTTTTTCTTCATTTAATCTTCGTTTTTGGGCGGCAACACTGTCTTCTCCATTTAAAACTTCATCCAACTTGGCAATTAACATTTCTCTAGCTAGTTTTCTATTCTCATCTTGGGATCTACTCATGTGACATTTAATTACTGTTCCTAAAACAAATGAATTACCAATTTACACTATGACTTAATACCTTTACTTTGCTGCAAAATATATAAACTTTATTTTTTAATTGATATTCAGAGAAATCATAATAGAAATGTTATTTCAAAACTGTACTAACACACTACTTACAAAATCTGAATGGATTTAGAGATTATTGTTTATTACAACATATAGTTTACCTGTAGGATTGTGGGTTAAAACTACACAGTTAGCATTTTTATTCACAGCAGAACCACCAGGCCCGCTCCCTCTAACAAATTGCTCTGACAAGTCTGATTCATTTATTTTTGGTACAAGTGAAAAATCAATATGCTTAGGTGCTACTGGACAATAAATTAAAGATTGAGTGTTGAAGAGCTTGCTAAAACGTTTAAAATTTAGCATAGTTATAACACAGAACCTTTGCGGAGTAGAGCTTCACCCTTCTGAAAAAAAAAGGTTTTTAGTTGAAAATTGTCGTAATAAGGAGTATTTTACAATACACTAATGAAGTAATAATTAATATATTTAAACCTTATAAGCAAAACTAATATCTTCAGGTTTAGTTAAAGTTTTATTGCGACGAAATTCTTTGGAAACTCTGTTCTTGAAATATTGGACGTCTGTCAAACTGAGAGACTGAGAATATTGCATTAACTTTTTATACAAATTAAGTATTTCTGATCTGGTAACCGACATATTAAATTTAGAAAATTGGATAAAAATAAGTTAATATCTTTCAAATTGACATTTGATATCATTGAAAAGTGACAGTGACATTTATTTTCTGACTTACATTTTATAATGTTTTTAATTAAGACACACGAGCAGCGAAACGTTTTTCCACCTATTTTTAAAAAACATTTTTTCCATATAAATATTTATCTTCCTATCTGGGTTTATGTTTACTTGTTTGTCAAACATATTACTTAATCCAGTTTTTTTATTAGATGCTAACGTATACTTATACATCTTTTTTTATTCTTGTTCAGTTACATTGAAAATGAATTAATAAACGTCAATTGCTGTCAAGTTCATATGTCAATATGTCAATGTCACCATTTATGTATTAAAATACTTTGCTATTTTAGTTCTTGTGTTATGAAAATTAAATTAATCTGTTAACTTTTTCATAACATAAAACCAATCACATGTTTTTAAAAAACATCTTCATTACGAATAAAAATTTCAATAGATACAATTCACCTTAATATTTCTCTTAAAGGCTGCTGCTATTTTAAAATCATTTAAAAATACGAAAACATTTGAACTATGGTCCGTTTTAAGAACAGGTTAGTTTTATTTCGCTTTTTCGGAGGCATATGATAAAACAAATATTACAGTAGTGTTTAAAGGCAACGTTTTATCGTCCGAGGACTAAGCAAGAGAGACGCAGTTTATATTATCTATTTATGTGTACAACAACTGAACGCACTTAATTTCGTCAGGCGTACTTATTGAGATAATTTATAGACTGACAATGAGACTTCTCATAGTTTGCTTGTAACATTACTTTATAAACTAATTATTTTTTAGATACATAATTGTCGAAATTTCTTCACCTTTGATACCAGAAGACAAACCTCTATCTTTAAAATCGAAAATATTTCATGAAACTGTACTGGAGAAGATACAACAATTACATGGAGATTTTGGATTAGCTGCTGTCAAATCTGGTTTTCTAACAAAATATTGCAATGAGAATACTCGAATAGCAATCCTTAGAGCTAGACATGGCCCTCACAAGTTTGTTTCAAGCAGTTTACCATTCATTACAAAAATAGGTAATCTGGATGTCAGTCTACGGACTCTTCATGTCGGGGCAACTTTGAAACAAGGCTTTAATTTCATCCTTAAGCACCAAAAAGCATATTTGGATTCAATGTGGTCTAAATTAAAAACGGATGAAGAACGAAAGAATCTCGAAGCTGCTGTTATGGATTTTACTAAGACAGACGTCACAATAAACATTGAAAATATTTCTTAATTACATTTATTAAATAAATCTAATACATTATAAAAAGTATGAAATAATTATATCCTTGCGGTGTATATAGAATAACATATAAAAAGTCTTTGTTTAATTTAATTTTGCATATAAATGAAATTGTATACAGTGTAACACATCATTAATTTCTATAAATATTGCTTATACAATTCTTGTATATTTATGTAAATTTATTGCACAAATCATGAATTTCCTGCACTTATTTTACTAAAGAGAAATAACATGTACAAATACGTTATATTAATAATTAAGCTATACAAAAATGTTAAGACTTATCTTGTGATATTAAAAAATCTTAATTTTCCAAAATGTTAAACACTTGAAGCTATTGTCACATTAAACAAGATTTCCTTAATCTAACTAGCATAGGCCAAAATATCTACTATGGCGCTTGAGGCATTTGCAAGTAAAGTTTTTTACGTAATGTTGATTCAAAAATTGGCACCTGAGCCCGTTTTAGTCGACTGCAAATGCGAGAAACAGAATCTGTCACTTTTGTAAAAATTTCATACAAGTGTTCTTGTTGTGCCTTCTTACCTATTGTATAACATAAACTTTGAATAAAAATTGAGCCCTTTTGCTCATCTCTGTAAGCTTCATATTCTGGTGCAGTGGCCCAGTATATAAGAAAATCAGATTTTCTGAGAAAATAATTTGCTGTCGGTCCATCAGCTACCAAGTGGGGCATTGATCGATGTTCATCAACTTGGCATGCCTGCAGAATTAGGATTTTTGGCATCCCATGTAAATAACTTGCATCCTCAGAGTCTAGTAGGTTCTGGATATCTTCTACTTTCACCTTTACAGAATCAGCTGCATACACATGTCCTCTTACACCATGTGATAAAATACACAACATGAAAATGCTGTCGTCTGGACGAACATCATTATTTATCACATCCCTGATAAACTTAAACATCTCTCTATGGTTCACATTACGAGCGCTTTTTATTTTAAAATTGAGTGATGACATAATATGCTCCAGACTTTGTTGATCTTTTGTTGAACCTAAACGATTATCCAACATATGTGTCTGAAAATCATTTTCAATGCTATCTTTTGACGGGTAAAATTCTTCTTGATTAATAATGCAACACACACCAATTCTATCAGTATTTTTAATAGGGTAAGCATCCTTTGTGAGATTTTTTGTATCGGACTTTAAGTTTATAACAGAAATATCTTCTTTATGTAATTCATTCAAAGCTTTAAATACATCAGAGAAACTTTCGTCAAATTTATCTTCTTTTAGCTTAGCTTTTGATTTATGAATTTCTGATGGTGAACTATATGGAGTACTTGTTACTTGTGGTGATGAAAAATTTGAGTCATTATTAATCTTATTAGCAATGATTCTCAGATCTTCTGCTATTTTTCTCAAACCAGATATATTTTCAACAATCTGCACAAGTTTTTCAACTTGACATTGCTTACTCTTTGACACTGAATTGTTTTGAGTAAGGATTATAAACTTTTGGGAAATCATTTCTAAACATATCAGTTCACATGTTTCATGCTCAGATGTATCAATTTCAAATGATATTAAGGACTTTTTTAATCTCATAAGAGTATTACCAGTTACATTTTCACAAAATTTATAAAGAACTTTTTTCATAGGATTGATGTATACACAGACATTTATATTGCCAGGCATATATCGTTCTTTGACACTGGGAACATCAAAACCTAGTTTCTTTATTACATTATATAACCGGCAAATGGCGAGTGCCTCTAAAAATTCATATCTCCATGTAGGTCGGGACTGAACATTTAAAGCCCAGTCATATAATAAATTCATGTTAGTATCTTTATAAACACGTTGAAAAACAATAAGCCTTTGCAGAGCAGTATCTGGGACTTCATATAGCAAGAATACCATTGAGACTGTATCATAGTAATCTATATCGTTTTGAATATCTGATATAACTTCAAGGTTTATTGTGCGTATATTATCCATAAAACAATCTTGGAGAGCGGTCTTCGCGTCCGAATGCAACATATTCATGTTCATTCTTTAATAAAGCTGAAGTTAATTAAATTAATATTTTATTAGATACCTTGGATATATGTTGCCGTTGATAGGGAATAACTTTTATACACGATTTTTTAGCAATTATCAAGTTTTGTGATGTGCAATAACATGTACAGAACGATTTTGCACACAGTGTAAGATTTATGATTAATGCAATACTTCAATAAATACACTATTTTGTATTTTACTGCACTACGTTACAGTTCAAATTCCTTCCACTTACGGATTCAAAAATCGTAAAACACTGATTAATGACGTTTACCTTGTGTGTTCTGAATTATGAATTGTTTAACTGGTTTACACTTTAGAAAATAATTCTTAAAATATTTTTATTTTCGACGTAATTCATTTATTTAAGTGCTTAACAGAATTTACTTTAAGTCATAAAATATGTAAATAAAACAATTCAGACTCGAAAGTTATAATTAACTGTGATTTATTATATCAGAGGTTAAAACCGCTTTTCGAACGTCTCAAAGTTAAAAAAATTACATAGATTTTAGGGATTTCCCTAATAATGGAGTACTTTGTTTATTGAAATAGGTAGTTGTAATAAGTGCGAACACTTATGGTCTGTCATATCAATATCAGAGAGAATAACTTATTTAAAATAAAGGAGTTGATTTTTTTATTACCATCGATCGATTAATTCCTTTTAACTTAACGCTTTGTTGTTATTTTAACGGGCAACTCCAATCGATATGTTTGATATTGATTGGCGCGAAGGTTTAATTGAGTTAAATGTCATAACAAATAATTAAAACTTTGGAAGTGTATTTCATAATTCTATTGAATTTTAAATACTGTTTTCACTGTTCTTAATAACTAAGAGTATGATAAGGTTATTTTAGGTTTGTTTGTCTTTCTTAGATCTCTGTAAATAAAATTAAGTTTAAGTGAAGAGCAAGGGAAACAAGGTTATCTTATTAGAAGCATGCACAGCATCATTTATTCACTATCTTTTTCTTTTATCACGGCATCAAGGTCAACATTTATTATGTTTATCAAGCGGTTATAATAATATTGCTTTAAGATAACTTTGACGCTCCCAGTATTTTATTAAGTAAATATATTTCGCATTTTAATATATATATTGTTTTGTCTGTAAAGTCTTGATTATATATATAATTGATTTAATAAATAATCCAATAATTAGTACAAGATTAGGACATGAGCAGTCAATCATTTTTCATTGGCGTGGATGTGGGATCAGGCAGTGCTAGGGCGGCTCTCGTCGATCAAAATGGACACATACTGCGCACATCAGTTAAGGAACTTCGAACATGGAAGCCAGAACCCGACTTTTACGAACAGTCCTCCAACGATATATGGCACTGCTGTGAATTTGTTATAAATGTATGTATTAATTTGTATTTTGGATGTAACCTTCATTAACCTAGGGTTTACCTTTGTGATATGATAAAAGGTCATGAGCTTTTAAAACATTTAAATCAAATAAACCTTTTTAGTACATTATTATTCTATATTTCAGGAAGTTACCAGAAATGTGAATGCAGAAGATATCAAAGGTATTGGTTTTGATGCTACATGTTCTTTAGTGGCATTGGATAAAAATGGTAATCCATTAGCAGTAAGCAATTCTTATAACAATGAACAGAATGTAATTATGTGGATGGACCACAGGGCTTACTCTGAAGCAGATTTTATAAACAAAACAGGTCATGAGATCCTAAAGTATGTGGGTGGCAAGGTTAGCTTGGAAATGGAAATGCCAAAGTTGCTGTGGTTGAAAAAAAACTTACCAAGCAAGTGGTCTGATTATGGATATTTTTTTGATTTACCAGACTTTCTTACTTGGAAAGCAACTGGATCTGATAGTCGGTCACTTTGTTCTCTTGTTTGCAAATGGAACTATGAATGCTCTATTAATGGTCAACAAGGATGGAATAAAGATTTTCTTCGAAATATTGGATTAGATGATTTGGCTGCATTTGGGTTTAAAAAGATTGGGAGTAAAGTTTTGATGCCTGGTGAGAAGTGTGGTGGATTGCAGAGTGATGTTGCAAGATCTCTTGGTCTTAGTCCAGGTACCCCAGTAGCAACTTCTATTATTGATGCTCATGCTGGTGGTCTTGGTATGATTGGTACAAATGGGGAGGGTATTGCAAAGGAGATGTCGAGTAGACTTAGCTTGATATGTGGTACCTCTACATGTCATATGGCTGTTAATAAAAAGCCAATACTAGTGCAGGGTATATGGGGTCCATACTTTAGTGCAATGGTACCTAATTTGTGGTTAAATGAAGCTGGCCAAAGTGCTTCCGGCATGCTTTTAGACTATGTTATATCAAGTCATCCGGCAGGAATTCAATTGTTGAAAAAACATTCAACTGGAGAGTAAGTAATATTATAATAACTTTACTTTTATGTTACTGATTGGAAAGAGTGAGTGTGAGAATTATGATTGAATTGAATCTTGTAGTTCTCATTTACAATTATATACAAGAATAAATCAAAACAACCTTTTACAATACACCATATACCAAGAATTGTTGTTAAATTATTCTTTACTGAGAATATGCTAATATCTTTAGAAATTATTTTAAGTAAGCTTGTGACATACAATTACAACTTGTTTCAGGGTTCGTACTCACTTAAGGCAGTTGTTATCAAAAATGACTAAAGAGAAAGGTTTAAATGATGTAAGTTTACTAAGTAAAGATTTCCACATATGGCCAGACTATCATGGTAACCGATCACCATTGGCTGATCCATCTATGAAAGGGATGATTTGTGGACTCACCATAAACAATAGCGAGGAGAACCTCGCTTTACTCTACCTGGCAACATTACAAGCTTTATCGGCAAGTTCATTTATATTATGTTTAAAAAAAAAAGTTATGAATCCAGATATAAATTGTTATGCATTTAATATTCTAGTATAAAGTTCACTTTATTGTTTCAGTATGGTACGCGACATATAATCGAAGCATTGGTGGAAGCGGGTTATGAACCATTCAAATCATTGCTCGTCTGCGGGGGACTAGCAAAGGATCCCCTGTTTGTGCAAATTCAAGCCGATGTTATGTCATTGCCTGTGCTAAAGCCACACGAATCTGAATCAGTATTACTTGGCTCTGCCATCCTCGGTGCGTGTGCATCGCAATACTTTAACAACGTCCAAGCAGCCATAGAAAGTATGGGAGGTAATGCGGATGTCGTCCCTCCAAATCTTAATACTAAAGCATTCCATGACAAAAAGTATAAAGTCTTTCTTAGAATGTTCCAGGATCAGTTAAAATATAGAGCTATTATGAATTAGCAGATTTATATCTATAAAGAAATGTAAATAGAATTAAATTATTCATTTAAATCTTTCCAGTTTAACTTGGGTTCATATACAGGGATTAGGACATATTTTTTAAGTTTTTTTTTAATTAAACATGTTTTGATTTAAATATATGAACTAAAATTTATTTTATTTCCATACCTATGCCTCTCTTTAGCAAATAGGAAGCGTAACACATGTTATGGGATATAGATTAACTTAATAACATATATAGCAGGATCTAATAAAATTAAAACAATTATTTATTTATATAATATAATTATTAGAAATAAATAATCAAGAATTAATTGAATAACACACAGGAAAAGACATTTAATAAATTTCCAATAAAAGAGAACTTAATGTCATGAAAAGATAAAATAAAGAACACTCAAATAAAATTTAGAGCTTACAATACAATTACTAAACACAAAACATAAATTTTTCATAATCATTATACCAACTAATTAAGTACTCAAATAAAGTAAAAAAAGTATGTCCTAAAAAATACTCTACAAGACTCGGAATCTATATCAGGGTGTATTTAGTAATATTATCACATTAAATTGTATATAAATGCTAATAATGGCTGAATAACACTGAAATCAGTTTTTAAGTACTGAAAAAATGTAATGTAGGCTAAGTAAGAAAAACCTTATTTTACAGAACTGTAACAATCAAACTGTATAATAGTATATTTTCATCCTTAATGGATTTTCATATTTTAATGTTTAAATCAAAAAGTTTTTCAGTAATATTATAAAAATATTATTAGAGACAACAAAATTAAATATAGTTAAGTAACAATGGTAGCTTGACATCTTGAATACTTTCTCACAATGCAAAGGAACTATTAATTTATCTCAATTGAGCACTTCCTAAGTAGGGGGCAGAACTGTCACCAAATTAAATTCTTTAACCAATGCAGGTTAACAACAAACACATTTAACTCAACCTTAATGTATGATAATTGAAAATATATAACAAGGAAAATTACATTAACTTGATAAACTAAAATCAATTATTGACATAATAAACATAGTATTAGAAAATTATCTTATAGTTGTACTTATTTTAGGGACAATCTGAATCAATTTAAATATCGAAATTAACAGAATTTGTGTTAGATCATATGGATAATTTCGTCATCGTCCACTCTTTGTTTTTTGCTTGTGTTTGATGGTGTTTGAGGTGGAGAGCATCCTCCGGTTTCACGCCGTTTGCCAGAGTGGCGAGCGCAAGTATTCCCTGACAAACGCGCGGAGTTTGATTGTCGTGTTGGTGAAAACTGTTTGAGCATTTCAACATCATTGAATATTACTTGAGCACCTCCACCACATGTAGGGACAACATCTCCTTTGTACATTGTCATTTCAAACTCGCCATCTGTGTCCTGGGCTTGAGTGACAAGGCAGTATTTTGATACTTTTGAATTTGCTATATCCTTAACATTTGTCAACTTATTAACATGTTTGCTGTGACCAATGCTCGGTTTCAAAACAGTTCCCATTGGTACAATGTTCTTTGGTGCATGTTCTATCCATCCGCGACCATCAGCTGATAAAGAACGTTTGTGTCGGGGATTTGCGACGGCCACGCCACGACGCGAAGATTGGGTGTCTTTTGTCTGTTGAGCTGAACTAAATGGAGTTAACATATGTGCTGGCAGAGCTCTAGGAGTTGATCCTGGTGTGAAGTCCCGGGCACTTGTTTGTGCACCCACATCTCCCATCATTTTAGGTACTGGTTCCATGTGGTCTTCTCTTTCGATTTTCAATGCCTCAGCTATAATCCGTAAACGATTTTCTTTATCTTCAATCACATTACGCAATCTTTCACTCTCACAACAAATTTCCTTTGCTTTTTCATGTTCAGCAGCAATTTTGTGGTTATATCTCTTTTCCAAAATTTTTTTTTGTTTCTCCTTATCAAGTTTATTTTGACTGAGTAGCAAATCTTTCTCTTGTAGCTCTCTTTTTAAAGATGAAGTATACTCGGTCATTTCATTCAATTTTCGTTGGTGTGATAAGGAAGCATTTTCGGTTGCTGTAAGACGCTCCTCTAGAGCTCTTACCCGACGTTCTGCTGCTGCCAACTGACCTCTTAAGGAAACATTTTCACTTCGTACCTCTAACGAATCTTTCTCCAGGTCTAATAGAGCTGATCGAAGTCTTTCATCTTTTACAGCTTTACTGCGTTTCAAAATTTCCCTGCGATTTAATCGCATTTCTAAGTGGGCTTTAAGTTCTTTGATGATGTGATCTTCCTGAGAACTGCTTATTTTTAGACTAGGGAAATCAGGTCCAAGGCTATAAACTAAACCTAAATCAAGTTCCAGCTCTTTGGCGTCTGGTCTCATAATATATTCTCTTGCAGTGTTGAATAAGCGATTGGCTTTGCGCCTGCCAGATTTCAAGCCTATCTCTGCAGCAATATCTATAATTTGTGGTTTTGCCACCTCAACTTCTGCCGCCATTTCTGCAAATCTCATAACTTGCAAGGTCTCATCATAGTCCTCCGCTCTGGGATTGGCACAGACAATCATACGAACTTGACCCTCTCCCTCAAAGAAATTTTTAAACAAATGAGTTATTTTAGATTCACGGTAAGGCACTTTGTTTTTAGCACCAAATAACTGATTCTCTCTTAATAATTCTAAGCAAGATCTAAGAGTCATCAATGATTTATTAATATTACCTGCTTCTTTGAGTCTCTGACCTGTATTTTTTGTCCTGTTAGTTCTTTCGCTACCAGCTAAATCTACCAGACTGAGCTGACTGACCTTCAGTACATCCTTGTTTTGTATGACTGCCTCTCCCATTTCATCAACAGGTGCCTGCACTAATCGGATTGTAAACACAGAATGACTTCTACTAGATTCTGCATTCAAATTTGTATGAGCCATTCGCTTTCTTTTTAAACCTAGATAAAATGCTTCAAATGCTTCCTCCGCTGATTTGATTTCAATTTCAGTTACACCGTTCACATACATATTGTGAGCTGCATCTTCACGGATAATTTTTGCAGGTAAGTTTTTGGTTAAGGGCGGACCTTCCTCTAACAGATCAAATACACTGTTGTTATAAATCTCAACATAAGAGACAAATACAGCATACTGATTATCTTCATTCACACCCTCTAATTTCGTAATGTCGGTTGATGACATTGCTAGATCAGGATTAGAATTGTTTTTTTTACCTGATTTAAATTTATGCAGTTCCTGCTGCCTCTCTAACATTGCCTCCGCCTCGCTCTGTATATCAAATAAATTCATTTTGTCTGGTTTAAAAATGTATTTATGTGCTTGGAAGTCATTGATAGTTTTGAAAATAATGTTTAAACAGCGGGGTAGTAAGCCACAATTTTGAGGTTCCCCAGTCATAGTAAATGTCTTACCGCTACCAGTCACACCGTAAGTAAACAGTAACCCACTTTTTCCTCTAATTAATCCTTCCACAAGTGGTAGAGCAACTTTGTCAAACACTTCTGCTTGTGAGGTTTCTGGCGGGAATACTTCCTTGAAAGTATATTTCATAACTTTGTTGTTTTCATTTCTATAGCTAATAGCAGTCGCTGGTGGCGTTAACAACACGGTGTTTGAAGAAACAATCTTGATGCACGAATGATCACTTTCTCTTGACATAGGCCGAAGACGGCAGTAAACTTGTACCGGATCTCTCTCATTGGGAGCCAAATTCTGTTTACTTCTAGCCGGTGTTCGCAATTCATTTAATCTCTGTTTGGATTTAGCCGACCTCATTATGCTCGTTTTTATGTTAAAACACTAGTTAAGTGAAATTAAATTGTATACGACGTCGGTTTGAATTAAACCTTATTATAAAAATTAAATAAACGGTCAGTATTGTTACGTTACTTTTAAAGTGACGTTTTACTTTTTTTTAATGAATTGTCGTTGAACTGTTGAAACCAGAAACAACCAAAGAGTTACGTTTGTAAATAAGAAATCACGTTCTGATTGCTGTTTGCATAAATTAAACTCTTAGTATAGCTATTTTAACAATCCTATCATTATGCAGAAATATTAAAATTGCAACTGTATTTAACACGTTTAGGCTATAAATCAAGGCATTTTGTGCCTATTTAATTTTCGGTTGTGAGGATATGAATGAATCCTTAGATTTTTTATTGATAGAACTGTCACGAACTTCAATCATCATCAGCTCGTTATAAGTTCCCACTGAGGGGCTCGAAGCCTGTCCTACGCTAGGGTAACTTCAACGAGTCCATTTAAATCAGTTCGAAGCAAAGCTGTCATTTCAAAAAAAGGACCTATCCATTTATAGAGATCAGTAATTTTACTTAATATTTCATCTATGGTAAAATTCTTCGCTCCCCCCTCCACCTTCACACCTCGGCTCTATGGAAAGATGGTTAGTTGGCTGAAGTGAAACGGGTGGAGATTAAAGGCATATTCACGTACACTAGTATTTTTGTAACATAAATTCTAAGAAAATGTTAGAAGTATTCATATACAATACATACAATATATCTTTATCCTCATTTTTGTAATTAAATTATTAATGAATTGTCAATATTGACAAACAGGTACGTATATTATCCTACTAAATAAAAATGTATTTTACTTTACCGTATGCTCACGTTCCTATTAACCCTTATTAATTAGTTGGGTTATATAAATCAATAACTTGGAACTGATCGTTTAAAACCTGTAATTTAATGAAATTTCTTTAGTTCAAGATGTCGAAGCGGTCGGCAGACGATGGTGGCAATGGCAGCAGCCAGCCACCGATCAAAAAGGTTCACTTTGAACCTCATCTCATTGGGCCAGTATCTACTCTTGAAGAAATGGACATCAAAGTCCTTCAATTTCAAAACAAAAAATTAGCCCAGGTAATGCCCTCCTGACACCAATTAAGTCAATTCTGTACTATCGTTTAACACATTAAAATTCACTTGATCAGCTGGTTGAAGTTTGTATGAAATCCTTGTGTAAAACATTGAATTATTGCCTTGTATTCATTTTTCACTTGACATATCTGTTTGCGTTTATTTTACCATTTATTTTAGAGTATCCTGATGAATAATTAACTTTGTTTTTATTTTATAACCTCTAAACACTCTTATGTCAACATAGTTTTTATCAATTACCCTTAATTAGTATTTGTTAAATTGTATCATTTATGCATATTTTTAATAAAGTAATTAAGTTATACAGGAAATAAAGTAACAACACTTGTTAATCTTCTGATTAAACAGTGTATTAATTTTGTATGTTATGTTTATATGTTTAGAGAATAGAGCAAAGGCATAGATGTGAAGCAGAACTTCGAGCAAGGATTGAACAGCTTGAGAAGCGTCAGACACAAGATGATGCTGTCCTGTGCGTTGTGAATCGATACTGGAATTTGTTGAATGAGGACATACGAGTTCTGTTGCAGCGCTTTGACGCTGAAACTGCTGATGAATCAGAGAATAAAAGTAATCTTTTATTTTTTTTTATATTTTTAATCACATTCAAATCATAATATGATCTAGTATTAGATATAGCTAAGAATAAAATTGTATGTAAATATTATCAGTGTTAATGATATATTTTCTAAATAACTATGGTTTTAAAAAAGTAGTCCTTGATTTGCATAGGGGTTTATATAAGAATTTTAATCATCTAATTGATTAAATACTGACCATGAAGCTGTATTTCTAAATATTTATAAGTGTTTACGTTTTGTTTCTATGTTCTAGATGAGAATGAAGCAACCACTTCATTCTTAATGCAATTATCAACATGGGATAAGGAGGAGTTGGATGCCCAATTAGCTAACAGAGTTCAAGTTAGCAAGAGAGCAGTTGCCAAAGTTTTACAGGCATTTGATCGGTTACAGCAGCGGAATGATAAGATTTGGAGGGCAATCAAGGGAGAAGGAGAAGGTAATCTTACTAATGTTATAAATGCGAAAGTAAAATGCATGGATGTCTGGATGTTTCTTAAAGTTTGTAGGCTTAACACCTGAAAGAGCTCAATTAAATTTGGCAAGTAAGCTATTTGACATAAAAATAGGCTTTTTACTTTTTTTTTTAACTCCACATGAACAAAATTGCGGGCGAGAGCTTGTATTGTTTATATTACGAGTGTTCAGTTAAAAAATTACTTTGCATAATTTTTATGAGTACCACAACTAGAATGCGATCATTGCAAGCAACAATGCTTAGTGTTTGTATTGACCCAATCAGACTTCACTAACCTGGTTTACATTTTTTTATTGTTAATTTAAAGAATAGATGCGTAAACATGAACATTGACTAGTGGAGTGTTGATTCTTCTAGGTCTTGCGGCGCAACTGTGTGTCGTGTCTGGCCCAGAAGTACAAAAATACATAAAAAACATACTTTTGCAGAAGGTGCACCTGCACCATCTCTGGATGAAGTGGTGCGTGCGACTAATGAGGAAGTGACAGTGGAAAATCGTCGCCTTCAAGCGATATGTACTTCGTTACAAGAAAACCATCATGCTATGACACTACGAGTGGCTCAGCTGCAAGATGCTGTGAACAGTCGGGATACAGAGAATGCAGAACTAAAGAATCAGATTGATGATTTGCAGTATGAACTTATGAAGGTATGTGAGACAGCTATTCTCATATATTAAGTAAAATAAGATATGATTTTCGTATATGTATTATTGGAAGTGTGGAAATCTATTGTGTATGAAACAAAAATAACTAAGAAGACAATAAAAGTTGATTGATAGAGAAGGAGACACATAGAAAGAGACTATTTTCCTTTTATTTGTATCATATCCACTTTCTCTTCCCATCCTTTCTGTAAAAGAATGAGGTGGGAAGGAATTGGGTACTAATATAAAGCCTTCAGCAAGATGCGAAATTGCCTCCACTTGAAACCTGTCGTTAGTGTAGTTGCAGTATTATATTGTTTAACCCGGTTATTTCATGCAACTCATTTTGTTGTTAACATCTTCAAATGTAAAAATTTTGTAGGTGAGATCAAGGAATGATAAATTAGAGAACCATCTAGCGGAGGCTATAGAGAAGCTGAAGAGCTACCATCAATCTGGCGCCAGCACCAGTAGCAGCAGCGCGGCGTCTTCGGGGAGCACGCCACTCACAGCAGCTGCAGCCGCCAAGCTGGAGGATGTGGCTGCAGAGCTGGAAGAGCAGAGGGAACTGGCCAACAACCGACTTGCAGAACTTGACCGCTTGCACAGGCAGCACAGGGATACTCTTAAGGAAGTTGAAAAACTTAAGATGGATGTAAGTGTAACTTTCTATCTTACTTCTTACTAATATAATAAATGCAAATTTAGAGATGGATGGATCTTTACTGTTATCGCCAGAACAGCTAACAGCATCCGTGCGGAGCTTAAAAACCGATGTTAATTGGGTTGCCATGTGTTCTTCCAAATTATGATTTAGATCTGTCCCAAATTTCATCCATATCGGATCTAAAGCCTTTTCAAACAAACCTTACACCATCCATCCATCTAAACTTTCCTAATTATAGTATCAGTACAACGTAATAAATTCTGAATGTTTACTGCAATATCAAAGTGTGACATAAACATTTGATTGAATTTCCCACAACAGATCCGCCAGTTACCTGAATCAGTGATTGTAGAGACGACAGAGTACAAGTGCCTGCAGAGTCAGTTCTCGGTGCTGTACAATGAGTCTATGCAGATGAAGACCGCGCTGGATGAGACTCGCATGCAACTGCAGAACGCCAAGAACCTACACATGAGACAGATCGAGATGATGGAGGTAAATACTTTGGCTTTACTTTTTTAATTGACTGATTTGTCATTGTTTGCCTTGAGGAGGCATTTACAACTTCACTGGACTTAGGTGGAGCTGAAGTTGCCTATTTTAATCATGATTATTCAAATTATACTATATATAGGCTTATGCTAGTGTTTTTTTATTACCAAAAGAATTTATTCCTAATATTATTAAGTTAAAACATATGTTTGACCAAACATTGTCCGATACATGTTTTAAAGTTTTATCTCGGTGATATTCACATTATCACATACTTTCGAGTGTTTGTACAAGCTTTAGGCTTTGTATTATTGTATTTTTTTTCTTACAAATATGTAAATGTCTTAGAGTGAGGAGTTAGCAAGACAGAAAGCTCTCCGAGCAGAGATGATACAATTGGAAGATGTTCTCGGCCAGCTGAGGAAGGAATATGAGATGTTGAGGATAGAATTTGAGCAGAACTTGGCTGCGAACGAGCAGACGGGGCCCATCAACAGAGAGATGCGGCATCTCATCACCTCCCTGCAGAACCACAACCAGCAGCTCAAGGGTGAAGTGTCCAGGTACAAGAGAAAATACAAGGATACAAGTCAGGAATTAAATAAAGTAAGAATTTTTGTTTCTTTTCATTTATAGTTATAAAATTTCGTTAATTATGTTTGAACATACATTTTTCTACAAGGACCTTGTCTTCGATTTTCCATTTACTCATTTTGCACTTATGAATTTATTGATTTATTTATTTGGTTGTATTAAATTAAGTATATTGTTTATTTAACGGTGACTATGTTTTTAATATTGCTGGGAGTCTTTTCTACAATTGTTCTGTGGTTGTGTATGTACGTATGTGTTGCGCAGCTCCGCAAGGAGACGGAGGAGGCGGCCGCGCGCGGCGGAGCCTCCACCAGCGACCAGCCGGACGAGAAGCCGCTGCCTATAAAGAAGGAGGAGCCTGACCCTGATGTATGCATCGTCTTTAATATCTTGTTTTGAAAGCTTTACAGTTATTTCAGTACTTATTTCAGACGGACAATCCAACAAGTTTGATTTAATTAATCTTATATGCCTGGTTTCCTCACTACGTTTAACCATTTGTTAGTATTTTTGGTGCGATAAATTCATGAAATGCGTTTCCGTAAATCTTAAGTAACGCAGACTTAAGATTTACTTCGTTGAAACAGGTCAATTTAACACTAAAGTGTCGCTAGGTACAAAATAGGTGGAGACTTTATAAAAACATTATTATTTGCCTATATGCTATTTTAATACTAAAAGATTTTTTTCCTTTAAATTTGATGTAGTATGCTTACCTTTTCCGCGCCGTGAGCGAATTATTATTGTGTGAAATGTACCATAGCCATATTATACTTTAGTAAAATATAGTCTTGTTTAGCTCTTATGTTTTCTACCAATTTGTGCAGAACAATATTACCAACAACACCGTTTTTACGTGTATTCACACTACCTCCTCACCACTACCGATATGGCCGTCGAGCCATTGCAACACCCTTATTGTTATTTTAAATTGCCTTTCTGATGGTGAAATAATTTTTAAATTCGGCCCAATGGTTTTTGAGTTATTTCAATACATACAAATATACAAAGTTTTCCTCTTTATAATATTAATATAGATAAAGATAAATGGTATTGATTTATAGCACAGACTAAAAAACCTTCAAGAATATAGAATACATCAAAAAAGCTGAAAAGCTTACAGTACTAACATTTGTTAAGTGGTTTAAACAGTTAGTGTTGTTAGGGCGAGGAGGGCGGCGTGGGCGCGGTGGGCGCGGGGGGCGCGGTGGGCGCGGCGGGCGCGGCGGGCGCGGTGGGCGCGGAGAAGCCGGCCAGCAAGGAGCAGGCGCGCGGCAAGCTGCACGAGCAGGACCAGATCATCAAGGAGCTCAAGCAACAGCTCAAGTCAGTATTAAGTAAGAACTATAGGTTACTTGCTTGGTGATAGATTCTCTATACGATGTACTGATGTATTCAAGCAAATCAAAATATGATTTAGAATTAAATGCCACGTTCTTGAATTCCGATCAAAAGCTAATACAAACGAAATTCAGTGAATCGTATTATAGTTAGTTGGTATAGTATTAATTAAGAGTTAACTCGTTATTTTCTTTTTTTGTTTTCAATGACAAGGTGTTTTACCATTTTGCCCATTATTCTTTCTGAAGAAAGTTTCTAATGAATTTTGTAACGTAATTTATCAGACCATTTGTGTCTGTTAATGGTTTTTAGTTTTGTACAACTAAACATTCATATATTCGGATATTCAGCAAGAAAGTCATAGCCCTATAAAAGTAGGCAAAATCGATCTTTCCTTTCTTAAAGGCTGGCAATGTTCTGCAATACGTGTGATGTTTGCGGATATTCATGGGAACAGTTAACATCAGGTGAGCTACTTGCTTGTTTGTCCCTAAAATTGCTGATTTCAGCCTCTTAAAATACCTCGTCGCTTTCAAACGAAATAGTTTCTCATGTTTCGTGTTGAATTAAACAAAATATTTTAATTATTTATTACTCTTTGGACTTGTATAAAATTACAAGTTTTGTTAAAATGGTTAAAAAAGGGAGAGCCATAAACAAGAAATAGGTTAAAAAAGTAGGAATTTAAGTGTGTGAATTTGTACTATTGTAATATATGTAAACATATAGTCGTCTCTTTCTCTCAATAAAAGAAACGACAATAAAGTTTTTATTATCCAATCACACTAATATTATAAATGCGAAAGTTTAGATAGATGGATGAATGCATGTTTGTTAGAGTTTCTAGCCTAAACGGTTTAACGGATTTCTATGAAATTTAGTATAGATGTAGAGGATATTCTCGAAGAACACATAGGGTACTTACTATTGTTTTCTTTAATTCCCCGCGGACGGGGTCGCGGGTAAAGCTAGTGTTATATAAGTGGGGTTTGTGTGCCTTTGCAGGAAGGCGGTGAACGAACAGAAGGAGCTGAAGCTGCTGCTGGACATGTACAAGGGCGTGGGCAAGGAGCAGCGCGACAAGGTGCAGCTGATGGCAGCGGAGCGTAAAGCGCGCCAGGAGCTGGAGGACCACCGGCAGAAGGCCAAGATGGCACAGGTCATACTAATATATTGTTACAGGGAAACTCTATATAAATAAGCATTATTAAACTCTGTCAGCCTTACAAATAAATGCGGTGTAAAGTTAAACGTAAAGTTTTCAGTGTGCAAGACTGAGAAAAAACTTTATTGACCTCTGATTATATAACTTATATATTCCCAGATGACAAAGAAAGAACAATCATAACTATAAATGGCATTAATTGGAATATATTTATATTAAATATATACATTTTAACTAAAATATGTGATGGGATTCTGCCTACCCTTGATATTTTGTGTAATTTTAAATAGTTAATTCAGAATGTCGATGTTCAGGAGAGCAAGCGCGAGCGGCGCATGGCGGACGAGGACGCGCTGCGCAAGATCAAGCAGTTGGAGGAGCAGAAGTACGAGCTGCAGAAGCAGCTGTCCTGCGCGCGCCCCAACGCCGACCCGCTGCACGCCTTCTCCAGACCCTTCGCCGGATCACAGGTCTCTACCACTAATCTCACTTCTGACCGATAAAAAGAAAATGAGACAACACTAAAACATCGGCATATGCTTTACATCCCTATCTGACAGATGTCAATGTCATTTAAGGCCTGTCCCGCCAAATTGTAAATTGATAACAATCCAACATGTAAAATATGTGGTGGATATAAGATTTAATACCCTTATCCGTCATTGTTAACCTATCTGAGCATTTATCAGCCAGTGGTGGGACAGGCCCTTAGACGTATTGGAATAGCGCGCCATTCTGGCCGCAGTCAGTACTCTATTTGTTGAAGTTAATTAAGTTGAAACAATTAAAGTCATTTATAAAATTGCTAATATTATATGATAAATGCGAAAATTTACATGTATTTGTAGCCTAGACGGTTAAACGGATCTTGATGAAAATTGGCGTAGATGTAGAACTAAGAAGAACTAGAAGAACACATAGTCGTCATACTTGACTCACTTTTGTTTTTTTAATTTCACGCGGACGGAGTCGCTGGCGAAAGCTAATAAGGGTCACTTTTGAACTATGTGGCGTTCAGGGGTTTAAACAATTAGGCGTATAGAACTGTGATATTTTTATGTTCGGTTCAAGTGTTTAACGACAAAGATTTTTTTTTATATGTCTACTAAAAGACACCATAGGTTTTAAAACGAGCAGCAAACAATGAGGAGTTTATAGAAGGTGTTTGACGAACGTGTGATGTGCAGGAGGAGGAGGCGCTGCTGAACGAGATGGAGGTGACGGGGCAGGCGTTCGAGGACATGCAGGAGCAGAAC